CACATGATCGGTATGTTGCTATCTGCACTCCATTGCAATATGAGACAATCATGCATAAAGGAGCCTGCGTTCAGATGGCAGCCAGTGCATGGATCACTGGTACCCTTTATGCCATACTGCACACCAGTGGCACTTTTGCCATCACCTTTTGCTCCAATAGGATCAATCAGTTCTTTTGTGAAGTTCCACAGGTACTGAAACTCTCATGTTCGGATTTATATCTAATTGAAGTCGGACTTCTTATATTGAGTTGTACCATAGGTGGAGGATGTTTTATCTTTATCCTCATTACCTACATGCAGATTTTTGCAACAGTACTCAGAATGCCTTCTGTGCAGGGTAGGAAAAAAGCCCTCTCCACTTGCCTTCCCCACCTCACTGTGGTGTCTCTGTTTGTTTTCACTTCAGTGTTTGCTTACTCAAGGCCTCCTGCAAACACATCCTCTGATCTCAATATCCTTTTTGCTGTGATCTATGCTATATTACCTCCATTGCTGAATCCCTTCATCTACAGCATGAGAAACAAAGACATCAAGACTGCATTGTCAAAGCTCACGGATTTTGGACATTTTCCTCAAACCAGCTCCAGCCAAATTCTTCTAGGAAAATTGTGTTGAATGTTCTTTTCTGGCCGATTTTCTTTATTGGTTTTGTAATTTGATCTATATGTAATATAATAGACATGATTTATTATTATCATTACTATTATTTTGATTCTGTGAAGTGGAAGCAAAAGGTGGTAGACACTTAGGCCCAATCTGCATTTAACATTTGCTCAGTTGTTTTACCAAACCCACACTGGAACAAAAAAAAGATGCGGTTCAAAACCGCATTCAGCTACCCCGGGCCAACACCATACTGACTGCAGAGTCACTCCCGAATGGCCATAAAACAGCCATAAATCAATGGAGATTGGGCCTAAGGCATGTAGCAGATTGCTGTTATGCCAAACCCACACTGGAACAGAAATTCCCATCTACATTGCATGCCACTTTCCCTTTTATTGAGTGTTACCATTTTATGGCAGAGTCCAGACTGCATGTTGCTTTCACTTTGTTTGATCTCTGGTTTTATGGTGGCTGTCTCCATAGATTTATGGTTGTTTTATGGCCATTCGGGGGTAACTCTGCAGTCAGTATGGTGTTGGCCCAGGATAGTTGAATGTGGTTTTGAAGGGCATCTTTTTCTGTTCCAGTGTGGGTTTGGTAAAACAACTGAGCAAATGCTAAATGCAGATTGGGCCTTAGATGACCTTTTCACTTTCCCATTCTTCCAGCACTCAACTGTGAGGATGGAAAATGTGACAGAGTTAGGGTTCCCACTTGGAACAAACATGATTTGAAACAGCTAACTGCAATTAGAAGGTGGAAGACATTGAGATCACCCTCCAGCTATGATCCCGGAAGGTCTCCTATCTCTAGCCGGAGGCATCTTGCATCACAAGTCCAAGCCAATAATTCTGTCTGTGTCAAAGATCACCACCCCACCAGTCAAAAGTGTTATTCCCTATTTCCCTGTGTTTTGCTCATTTTGCATTCCTCTAGACTAGCTCAAAACAGGGTGGGCAACACATATTGTAAACATCACAGATTCTTGCACCGTTTCATTGTAAACAAACATAGGAAGCTAATATATATTGATTTCTGACAAGAAAAGCTGAATTTAAGTTTGAACGTATGGAACTGATATACTTTGTCTTGTTTCTGCGTTTGTTTGTTTTCCTGATAGTATTAGTATCTGTAAATTTATAAAACAATAAAAACATATCGAATTCTAGATGCAGATTAGGCCTTAGAGGACTTTTTCACTTTCCCATTCTTCCAGCACTCAACTGTGAGGACTGAAAATATGATACTTGGAGTTAGGGTTCCCACTTGGAATAAACATGATTTGAAACAGCTAACTGCAATTAGGAACTGGAGGACATTGAGATCACCCTCCCGCTATGATCCCAGAAGGTCTCCTATCTCCAGCCGGAGGCATCTTGCATCACAAATCCAAGCCAATAATTCTGTCTGTGTCAAAGATCACCACCCCACCAGTCAAAAGTGTTATTCCCTATTTCCCTGTGTTTTGCTCATTTTGCATTCCTCTAGACTAGCTCAAAACAGGGTGGGCAACACATATTGTAAGCATCACAGATTCTTGCACCGTTTCATTGTAAACAAACATAGGAAGCTAATATATATTGATTTCTGACAAGAAAAGCTGAATTTAAGTTTGAACGTATGGAACTGATATACTTTGTCTTGTTTCTGCGTTTGTTTGTTTTCCTGATAGTATTAGTATCTGTAAATTTATAAAACAATAAAAACATATCTAATAAAACATATCTAACAAAAACAAAATCATATCTAATTTTAAAAAATACCTAATTTTGGCCCCGGTCACACGAGCAGGAAACCGCGGGGGGGAAGCGTGGCAGTGTGCAGTTGGGAAGGACGACAGGGAAATCCTTTCCTTTCATCCAGTAAAATCTCTGTGATGCATAGATCTCACAGGGCTCACTGGAGATTGTGGAGATCATGGAGTTCCTGGACAGTCCATTGGAGCCCTGTGCCTTCAGCGCTTGGAGTTGCTGGAAATCTCCAGAGCCCTTACAGAGGGTTCCATTTACCTTAGTTGGAATTTCGAGACTACCAGATGCCTGGGAAGCCCGAGACTGAAACTGACATCAAGCGAGCAGTTGGGGCATGGCAGTGAACTGAGACAGCCCGGAAGAATAGAAGAGTCTTTAAAGAACTGTACAGACATGGAATCAAAAATATTGTATGAGCTCTTTTACAGCAATCCTGGTTATGAGTGTTTTGTTGATATCTATTGATGCTGATGTGGATTAGTTTTATCCCTGCCCTCTAAATTGAATTGTCTATTAGGAGTTGGATTAAATTTATCCCTATTAACTTGCTTAGGTTGGAGTCATTCATATATAATATTTTAAATGAAGTTATATTAATAGAGTCAGAATTGTGTTTAGTGGTGGTTGGGAAGGAAGGGAATAAATGTCATCAGATTAGGAGGTTGTATAGAAATTAGGACCAGTGGGTACTGAAATATATATTGGAAGCAGTTTAAAGTGGGTTCTGTAAATGTAAAAAGGTGGATGTGGATGTGGCTGAACTGTACTAACCATCGTAGAATCCAGGATCCCAGTGATTAGGGGACGTGGGAGATACAGCAATGGGACTAGGTTTTATAAAAGAAGGAGGTGGAGATATGATAGGCTTGGTCCCCTTCCAACCTCCGTCCCATCCTGAGACATGTTGGTAGTGGGGTAGGAATGAAATCGTCTCTCCACCCTGGACATGGGATGAAGATGGCATTGGTTTTCCTCATGGATGATCTCTGCAGACATCTGGATCGAGGCAGGTCAGCTCTGCTGTTGTTACTCAGCCGATCAGCAGCATTTGACATGGTCAACTATTGTTGACAGGTATAAGTCTTCAGTATGTGTGATCATGCCAATCTATTTGACAGGTGTCTGACAGTCTGAAGAACCAGAGCAAACCGGTTCTGACTGGAGCTAAGCTGAGCTATCTCACTGTGACTCAGCAGTAAGCTGATTGGCTGGTCAAGTGTATATAAGTGTATGTGGTCTGTACATTGTATCCCTTCTATTTGTATGAGTATATTGCAGAGCACTTTGACGGAGAGAGCTGTATATATTGGAAATAAATCACTGTATATAGTTAACCACAACAACTGTGTGAGTGTGGTTTACTGCAGTGGGATCTTAGCAGGGTGCAATTTGGATCTTTGGCTTAAAGATGACTCAGTGACGCAGACTTGGTGTGAGGGTCAAGTGTTATGCCAAGAACCAAGAACAAACACACCAACCACCACAGGGGTGCTGGTAGGTAGTCCCACCCCTACAGACTCTGTGGCCCTAGTTAGGGAGAAATTGTGTGACTAGCACCACTTGTAAGCCGCTCAGAGACCCCCTGAGAAAGAGGGTTCGAGCGGGATATAAAGTCTAAAGTTAAATAAATAAACAAATAAATAAATAAATGTCCAGTCTGGGGGCACAGCCAGGGATTACCCTCATGCTCAGGTGGCAGGGGAGACCACCTCAGGGTGTCCACCCTTGTAGGATCCAGAGACCTGTCATCCCAAGGTTTCCAGTGGATCATTGACTGGCAGGCAGGTCAGCTGATGAACTGGATCTGGTACCCCAAGCTCTGCCAAAGCATACTACTGCTGTAACCAATAAAGTTGTGGCCAATTTTATTCCACATTTCTCTGAACACTTTGTGTGCATGTGTATTATTTCAACTGAAGTGTAAACAGGGTTAGTATTTAGTTGGTCATGGAGGGGCTCTTTGCCTTTGGTCCCCACCTCACCTCACCCCTTTCCTTGGTGCTGGGGCTGCAAACATGTACAGCACACTATAAAAGCAGAACTTTGGTGATCAACAAACTTTGCATTCCTGAAGAGTGTTTGGAGCAACATTGACAGCCAGAAGTTTCTCGTGAACAGCCCTAAACCAGATAGACTAATAAGAATTTTCTTGTAAGTGTGCCAAAAAGTGTTATTTAATAATATGGAATGTTTACTATGATTTGTAATTTAGTTAATAACAAAATAGAACCTCTTACACAATGGCATATAATTGATATGGTTTATAGAATAAAGGGGTTGGAAGTTAATTCATCCATTTTAACTTTAGCAGTGGGTGTAATGAGGAGGGAGGGGGAATGCCCCCCCACAAGTCCTCTCACAGTAGGAGGGAAGGCTGAGATCCTTCCCGCCAACCTTATTGGCCCCAGGAATGAGAAGGCAGCTCCTTTTGGTTTTCTTTTTTAGGTGAAGCTTCTTTTTCTGAAGAATAAAGTGAATTGGAAGTACATAATAGTAAACAGCAAATTGAAGAAAGTCCAATGTAAGTTAGTATGTAGAAGAAGAGGAGGAGGAGGAGATTGGATTTATACCCCGCCCTTCACTACCCAAAGGTGTCTCAGAGCGGCTTACAAACTCCTTTTCCTTCCCCTCCCCACAACAGACACCCTGTGAGGTAGATGGGGCTGAGAGAACTCTTGACAGAAACTGCTCTTTTTCAAGAACAGCTGTGCCAGAGTGATGGCTTGCCCAAGGTCATCCAGCCAGGAGCAAGTGGAGGAGTGGGGAATCAAACCCGGTTCTCCCAGATTAGAGTCTGCACACTTAACCACTACACCAAACTGTAGATATATGTATAGTAACTAATGTGACATAGGAAAAGAACTTAGGATAATAGGATTCAGAATAGGAAGTAATTCTTTGTTAGTAATTAGGTACAACAGGAGTTAATCGATTAGTTTGAGAACACTTTCTATTGATAAATAAGTTTGGGTGAATGACATAATAGATTGTTAGAAATAAGATTAATATTCTGTGTTATTGTTCACTACAGAAATGAATAAATTGTGAATTAAAAAATTGTTGTTGTTCAGTTGCACAGTCGAGTCTGACTCTTCGCAACCCCATGGACCACATCATGCCAGGCCCTCCGTCGTCCTCTGGAGTTTGCTTAATTTCATGTTTGTTGCCTCGATAACATTGTATAACCATCTCATCCTTTGCTGTCCCCTTCTTCTTTGACCTTCAATCTTTCCCAGCATCAGGGTCTTCTCCAGTGAG